TGTGTGTGTGTGTGTGTGTGTGTGCGCACGCGCGCGCACACACACACACACACACACACACACACACACAGGACCGGCTTTTCTCCACAAGTGAGTTGAGCAATTTGAAATAACTATGGAGCTAGATGGAGGGGCAAAAACAGCCCTTCCCTTTGTCTTTCCCTAAGGCCCCCACCCTCCACCCTCCACCCCTCCTAGATAACTTCTCTGGCTGTATTATTAGCTCCCCCAGTAGGGCCAAGGCCCCTGGCTTTTGGGAGGCTCCACCCTGCCCAGGTCTCACTCTGGGGACAGTCCTTTTTCCTAAAGGAGTCCATCCACCTCCCCTGCCTCCCCCACACCCCCAATACACACATGCCTTCCCATTGCTTGGAAGCCCAGGGACTGGTCCACTCAGGCCAGAGCAGCTGTGCAGGAGAGGATGTGTGGGGGGAGGAGGGAGGGAGAGACAGCAAGTGCCTTGCAGCCTCTCTGGGACCGCCAGAGTGAAAAACAGGGCCTCCTCATCCAAGTGCCTGGGCTTCCCCGCCCAGAACTCATTACGTGCCTGGGGACCAGAGCTCTGCACAGAGCTGAACCTCACCACCACCACCCCACCACCCTGCCAGCAAGGTTTCGGCTGGGCCACATAGGTCCTATTCTGCACAGGTCCCGGTTGGCCCCAACAGGGCCCCTTTACTCCTGCTTCCACCTCCCCCTCCACCCGCTCCAAGATTAGCCAGAAACACGGAGAGCCTGGACACTGGGAGCATCTCCTTTGGACGAACCCTTGGTGGAGACAGGAGAACAGGGCTGGGGGACCACCCTGGCCATGAAGCAGAAAAAGAGAGGACACTCAGGGAGGCATCCCAGTGTCCCTTGGTGGGTGCCTTGTTGAGTCAGCCTGCTGCTGGGCCTACCAAGTGCTCACAACACACATGGGAAGGGAATATTGTCATCCCCCACTTCAGAAGAGAAAACTGAGGCCCAGGAGGTAAAACATGCCTAAGGTCATGTTCAGCTGCATAGGAAAATGTACACAGGCTCCCCACGTTTAGAAGCCTGCCCTGACCCCACTGTGCATCTCCTCTGGGGTGCACCCAGAGTACTCGGGTAGGAAGCTCCCAGTCTGGCCTTGGCTGCCTTTAGCCCCTCTTGAGCCCTGGCCCCAGGGGAGGGTCCCACCACCTGCTTCGGGATCAGCTTTGCTGAGGGGCATGACTGCAGCTGCCCCTGAGGAATGGGACTGGAATGTCCCAGCTCCAAAAGAGGGGGCAGTCAGTAAGAGGGGCCCAAGGAGGGAATGGGAGAGGCTGGCATTCCCTAGTCCCACTTCGACCTGTGAAAAGGCAGAGTCCAGCGTCTAAATGCTGCAGGAGTGATTCTTAGTATCACTATATGGTCACTTACAGTTGCACGGCACTCTACAGTTTTTATCAGCCCTTTTGTTTCATCATCTCATCTCCACGACAGCCTCATGGAGGCGGGGAAGACAGTAGTTACCCTTACCCCATCTTACAGCTAGGGAAACTGAGGCCCAGAAAGAGGTGAGCTGCCTAAGATCCCACACGAAGAGCAATCCCAACTCCCCAGGCAAGGCCCTCTCTTCTGCTCCAGGCTGTCCCAGCCAGGGGTTACCAGCTGCCCTCCATGGGCACACACTGCTGTGTATTATATCTGCTCAACTCCCCACACTCGCAAGGGCCCCTGCAACCAAGTTGGTTTGGATCTCAGTCCCCTCAGCCGGTAATCCCCCCTGCTTGCCCCTGGGTCAGGAAGAAATAGTGGAAGCACGGCTGCATTTGGACTCTGAGCCCTGGAAGCTGCTAGCTCTATAGGCGGTGGCGGGAGCAGGCTGGCTGCATTCATTCAGTCTCGCACATACACACCCACACACAGCCAGCCGATAGAGAAGCCCTGCCTAAGAGGGCTCTGGGAGGAGGCCGATCACCAGGCCCAGGATAGCCTCCTGCCTCTGTCCCTCCCTAGGCCGGGCAGGGAGCACCGAGGCCGAGGGACAGGCTGAGCTCCTGGTGCAAGTGAGGAGAGCCCCGATCTGCTCGTGGAGGCGGGGAGATTGCTGGGTGGGAGATGACAGGTCCCAGTCCTTTTTCTGGACGCAGTCAGGGCCCCGATTTCCGCCCGGCCCCAGGCGGGCCCTCACTTTGGCCAAAGGTTGTGGCCAGACTGGGATGGTGCTCAAGACCTGGGAGCGTCCCCTATTCATGGGATCCCTGGCAGCAGGCTGGCAGCTGCTGCTCGTACAGGGTAGGGGGTTAGTGGAGGAAGTGGGTACCCCGGAGGGGGCGGGAGAGGGCAGGAGAGGGGTCTCGTGGGTAAGGTGGAGGGGCAGGCGAGGTTGGCATCTCCATGGAATTTCCCCGGGGAAGGCTGTGGCCGAGGCGAGGGCTCCCCCAGAACTGCGGGAGGTCCTCCAGCTACCTGAGGGGCGGAAGGGGATGTCTCTTCCAGGCTCCTCTCTAAGGCTTGCCCCGAGCGGATAGCCTGGGGGCGGGGAAGCCGAGGTCAGACTCCAGCGCCAAGGGCACCTGTCCCACCCCAGCGGTGGTGCAGGGGTCCCAGGAGCTGCCCCAAGGAAAGCGCGTTTGCAGCGTAACCTGCCGCCCGCCCTCCCAGCAGAGCGTCCCTGCTCGCGGACGGTCCCCGATCCCGCACCTCGGTGCTTCGGTATCTGGAAGCAAGGGGTACCTGGGCGCACACTGCATCTTGCCACCCTTGCTCACTTCTCAGACGTGAACCTCGGCCGGCGTAGGGCTCCGGCTTGGCCAAGGTCGCCGGGTAAGCTAGACCTCGGCGGCCGGCCCCACCCCCCCGAGTCCGGCCCCAGGCCGCTACGCGCCCCACTCACCATGCCGGCTCCGCTCTGTACCTCTCGCGCGCTGCAGCTCCCTTGCGCGGACTTGAACCTTCCCTCCAGGGCGCCGGCTCCAGCAGAGACTGCGAACCAGGATGGAGCGGCCAGGCGGCAGGCGCCGGAAAAACGCGGGCGTGCGTGCGCCGAAGCCGGATTGGCGAGGGACGGACGCCAATTCGTTCGGCAGCGCTCCCTAGCCTTCCCCAGAGGCGGAGGGAAAACCCGGCCTGACTCACTGGCTCACTGCCGGCCCACAGCCAGGCCCAGGCCCCCGGATGTGGGGGGCGGGGACACGGGCCACCCCCGCCCACTGCGTGCCAACCTGAGCCCCGCCCGGGCTCTCGGCTCCAGCCTAACCCAGCCTGCCGAGATCCCGCGCGGCGGTGGCGCCTGAGCTCCCTGCTGGTTGCGCTGTGTGCCGCGGCCGCCCGGCGTGCGCCAGCTCGGACCCGGGCCAGTCCGCAGCCCGAAACGTGGCCGATGCTCCCAGAGGGCGCCCAGCCCGTCCCGCTCCTCCGCTGCCGTCTCCTCTCCTCCTTCCTCGCTCGCCCGTCTCGGTTTCCAGAACCCGACAGCTTCGGAAGAGGCGCGTTCCGTCCATCACCTCCTTGATTCTCGCCGCCTCCTCTTAGGTAAGCAGTATTATTCCCTTTTGAAGGCTGAGCAAAACAGTACTCCGAGAGGTGTGGAGACATTTACCCAAGGTTAATGGGTAACCACAGAGTTGATGTGGTTACAATAATAAATAATAAATGCCAGCAGCCTCAGTGAAACACAAAACAAAACAAAACAACAAAAGAAGGTGGGGGCTTCCCTGGTGGCGCAGTGGTTGAAGAGTCCGCCGGCCGATGCAGGAGACACGGGTTCGTGCCCCGGTTCGGGAAGATCCCCCATGCCGCGGAGCGGCTGGGCCCGTGAGCCATGGCCGCTGAGCCTGCGCGTCCGGAGCTTGTGCTCCGCAACGGGAGAGGCCACAACAGTGAGAGGCCCGCGTACCGCAAAAAAAAAAAAAAAAAAGAAGGTAAGAAGGTGGGCTGGGCAGGAACCAGGCCTCTGTCCCCCTCTACCTGCTTGCCTGGACAGCGTGGGAGAGGCCAGAGTGGGCGGGGCTGGGGGTTGTATGCAGTGAACTTTGCTCACCTTCCTGGGCTCACAGGGCAGATACCTCTGCCTGGGCCACCTGCCCCCAGATTTGGCATCCCTGTGGAGTTGGCTCAGGAGCCACACTGCCCAGATGTCAAGGGGCAAGGCACTTAATGCCTGGGGCCAGGGAAGGGAAAGAAGCTCCCTGGGTGCACCCACTTCCTGAATCGGCTGGCCTTGGACAACTTCATTTCTTTCTGTACACCTTGGTCTTCTCATCTCAAAAAGGGGATCATAATTTGGCTGGGAGGATTAAATGAAGTATCATCTGTGAAGCACATGCGCAGCACAGTATCTTGGCAGATAGTAGGCATCTGTAAATGTCAGTTTGTCCTTCTCCTTTTTATGGGGAAGGTTGATCAGAAGGTCAGAATGCTTGCCACAGAGCCTGACTTAAAGTGGCTGGGAAGGCTGTTAACCCGCACCCAGCACGCGCTCACATTGTCTTGGGTCAGTTTCCCTGGGCTGGGTAGTATGTGCATCCATGCTACTTGTGAGTGGCCAAGACTGTAAAACCCTGGAGCCACCAATGGAGGCTTGGAATTTTCCCCTTCTCTCTGGCTGCCACCTCTGGCCTCATCACCTTTCTCCTTGAGTTTTGCAGCAGTCTGCCTGGGCTCCCTACTGCCTGCTCTTGGCCTTTCCCCACTCTGCCCTGGAGGGCACTTTCCAGCCTATGCATTATGTCTCCACTCTCCTCTGCTTGAGAGGTGGCGTCCCATCTTCAGGACTGGTCCGACAGCTCCTTCAGGCCCAGCTCTGGTCCCTGCCTCACAGACCTCTGTGCTGGGGACTGCCTCAGTGTCCTCATCTGTGAGTGCTTGTTGTTGGGAAAATCCATTAAGGGCATCCACTGTGCCCAAGGCCCCTCCTCCCACCGCCAAGGCAAAACCATTCCCCCATCCTCTGTCACTGGGGCAGTGCTTGATGCAGTGCATTGGCACTTGTGGGTCATCTGGCAGTCATCCCCAGGAGACAGCGAGTTCTGAGCCTCCAGTCCATGTCCCCCAGTGCCTCCCCAAACCTGACGGTTGACCATGCTCAGCTCGAACCCACCATCTGCAAAAAAGCCACTTCATGATTGCTTTCTAACCAGGAGGAAGAGGATGAAGAAAGGCAGCCCTGGCTCTAATCCTGAGTCTGTAACTTCCTGGTGACCTCTCTGAACCTCAGTTTCTTCACTTGTAAACAGGCAGAACCAGGTCATAAATGAAATGGCTTAACCCATGGGAAAGAACCTGGCACTTACAGAGGCTTCACAGCTGTGTGGCCCCCGCCCACCCGCTCTTCACTCATTGCCCTCCTTTGTCCTCTCTAGTCCACTGGGGCCAGGCCCTAGCCCGAGGGTGAAGGGAGGAGGGAGGAGAGCTGGCCATTCCTGGAGAGGCAGCAACTGAGATTTCAGACCACAGCAAGAGCAGGCTAACAGGTAACTCCTGGTACCCGCTGTAGCTTCTGCCAGGTCCAAGATTGTTCTAAACCTGAGAGCTGTGTCACGACCAGGGCATTGTGGCTGTCGGGATGGAGGGAGTAGGACCCTGCTCACCTGCCTGCACCCCACGCCCTGGGCTGAAAGTGGACTCCTGGGACCTGGACTCCCCTCCTTGAGTCACTCGTGCTGGGGAGGAGCCTGAGTTCACCTCTCTTGCCCTCCCTGCCCACCCTCCCCTGGTGACCTGGAGCAGCCTCAGGCAAACAGGAGGTGGAAGCTGAGAGCTGCCTGGGCTTGCTCTGGGGCAGAGAGCTCAGATCTGCAGGAGGCAGCAGGACTGCAGTGTGAAAGCTCCCCAGAAGTCCAGGGTGCCTGGCCAGCCCACTGGCCCCACAGCCAGGCCCAGGCCCAGCTGCCACCCAGGGTGGTAGCAGGGAACCTTGCCCTGGAACTTGTGAGACCTGGGCTCCAGTCCCTTGGTTATAGTGATTTATGGGTGGCAGGCAGTGGAGAAGTATGGAAGGGAGGGGGAAGGATTGAGAGAAGTCTGGGGAAGTCCATCGCAAGATGAAAGCGTTGTGGAGATCGGTGCCCCAATATAAATGTACCTAATACTGAACTGCACACTTGAAGATAGTTAAGATGGTAAATTGTGTGACGTGTATTTTACCACAATTAGAATTTTTTTTTTTTTTTTTTTTTGCGGGACGCCGGCCCCCCACTTTTGTGGCCTCTCCCGTTGCGGAGCACAGGCTCCGGACGCACAGGCTTAGCGGCCATGGCTCATGGGCCCAGCCGATCCGCGGCATGTGTGATCTTCCCGGACCGGGGCACGAACCCATGTCCCCTGCATCGGCAGACGGACTCTCAACCACTGCGCCACCAGGGAAGCCCAATGAGTCTTTTCTTGCAGGGGCACATCACCTTGTCCTACCCAGTCACACCAGGCAGGCTGTGTGGCTGGGGGCCCTGGGCTGCAGTATAAAACCTTTAGCATGGAAGCAGGTTAATGGTGGGATCATGGTCTCCTAGACTGTCTCCCCACAGCAGGTGTGGGGTATGGTCAAATGCATACGTGAACAAGTGGATGAACTTACTCTTCAAAAATTGGGTTAGTGCGATTCTGGAATTTAGCATCAGGGGACCTGCACTCACCTTGAGTCTGGGCCTTTATTAACTGTATGACCTTTAACCTGCTCTAGACCTTAATTTCCTTATTTGTAACATGGTAACATCTCCGAAAGCCTGGTTTAGAATAAAACCACATGTCTGACATGATCTTATTTATGTGGAGCGTAGAACATCACCCCGTGCAAGATAAGGGACAGGCAGAAAATACACCAGAAATGTTAACAGTCAGTGTTTCTGGGTGATTTGTTTTTAGATTTAATTTTGAAATAGTTTTGGTCTTAGAGAAAAGTTACAAAAATAGTGGAGTTTGCTTATACCCTTGACTCAGCCTCCACTCATGTTAATGTCAAACATAACCAGGTACAGTGTTGACAACTGAGAAGTTAACATCAATTCGGTACTGTAAATTGTGGACTTCATTTGCATTCAACCAGTTTTTCTCCTAATGCCCCCTTTCTGGTTCAGGATCCAGCCCAGCACCCCACAAGGCATTTAGTTGTCATGTCTTCTTAGTCTCCTCCAGGCTCTGACATTTCCTTAATCCTTCCTCATCTTTTGTGACCTCACTTTTTGAAGAGCACTGGCCAGGTGTGTTGTAGAATATCCTCAGCTTGTGTTTATCTGAGGCTGAGCAGCATGGGGAAGGGTACCACAGAGATGTGTGCCTTCTCAGTGCGTGTCAGGGGCTATAAGATATTAGTGTATCTCCTTACTGGTGACTGTGCGAAGACCTTAGAACACTTAAATTCCAGTTACTACCCTTTGATTTCCGAGGTACTGTTCTCTGTATAACTGAAGACTTTTTAAAAAAAATGTATTTATTTATTTATTTATTTAGGCTGCGCCGGGTCTTAATTGCGGCATGCGGACTTCTTGGTTGCAGCATGTGGACTTCTTAGTTGCAGCATGTGGACTCTTAGTTGCGGCATGCATGTGGGATCTAGTTCCCCGATCAGGGATCAAACCCGGGGCCCCTGCATTGGGAGCATGGAGTCTTACCCACGGGACCACCAGGGAAGTCCCTCCACAGACTTTATTATTCTTTCACTCAGCCAATCTTCAGTTTGATTGACCCCCGTATTTACCATGGTCTTTGTCCTTCATTCCTTCCTGCATCCATGATCTGCCATCTCAGATAATTTTCCTTCTCTCTGCAGAACAGCCTTTAGAATTCCTTCAATGTATAATGGTCTCCTGGTGGCATACTCTCTCAGTTTTTTATGACAATGTGTATATTTAATGTTTCTTCTTAAAGGATAGTGTCTCTGTGTATAGAATTCTAAGTTGGCACTAGTTTTCTTTTTAGTACATTGAAGCTATTGTTCAGCCATCTGCTGGCTTCCATTTTTGCTCTTGAGGAG